ACTTAGACCTCAGTTATTGTTTGTTAGCAGAGCTCAGCTGTAACAATAAGATGAGGAACATGATGTTCAGTGTTTAGCTGAAGTTAAACAAAAAGTCCAAGTTAATTACTACTGGCCCTTGGAGGGCCACCATAATACTTGGTGAATGCATATTACCAGCTGCCTCACTTGCCAGAGTTTTAGACTAAAATCAAGTTGTGTTAAGAAATTATTGCGTTTTAGCTGTTTTGGTCAAACCCTAAAAAAATAACTTTATGATTTCACACAATATCACAAGATGCCGTGCTCAGAGTATGTGCTGTCAATGAACTGTAGCTCAAACAGTGGTCTAAGATTCTAAGGTGTTTCCAGGCCAGAAATCATTTATGTGCACTAGGTGACCTCCTGGTTATTCTTGGACAGTGGCGGATCTAGGATTTCTCTGAGTAAGGGGCCATCAAGGGGCCACAATATTCACAGAGGGGTCAAGCCTTTGTTAAACATCCTTTCACACAAATCCCCAGTTTTGGTGATGTGCACACATTTAACCAGTCATACATGTTCCAACACTTGTAATGTAATATAACCGTTTAAAAAAAAAAAACAAATTTAACTGTGTGTCTTCATCACTGTTTGTATTTTGTGAAATCTCATTCATACCATTTCAATTACAGACAGTTTCAGATTTTAGGCAAATTCTAGGGTAATCTCGTTTCAGTGCACAGAGGGCTAAAAACCAGCTTCAGAATGACATTTAAAAAACAATTCATGACAAAAAATGTTGAAAAACAGGTGAAAAGGGTGTTTGAGTGCCCCCTGCAGGAAGCTCCGGTATTTATCATGCTCACCGGAAGTCACGTGATTCAACAACTAAACGTGCGTCTGTAGCCACTGCCGCGGTTTGTTTCTTTTAATGTACACTTTTAATCCGTGGCTTACATTCACAGACTTTAATTACAAACATGTCAGGCAAGTCGGAACTAAAAATCAATTCGCAGTTCGCTCAGAGGTACGAGAAGTATCGACAGAAGGAAGAACTACAGAAGCGTAAGTAGTTGTCGCTGCTAGCTAACTAACATGATGATGCTAACGAGCCAACGTGGGAGCATGTGGCTAGCTTTAAATTAAATCAGGGTTGTGCTGTTTTGAAAACGTGTTTCTTTCCGGTTTGTTTGTGCAGTGAARGACCGGTTCGGAGACCGAGCCGATGAGAGCGACTCTGAATCGTCTGAATCCAGTTCTGGTGACAGTGAAGTGGTTAGTATCTACTGCCGTTTCTCTCTGAATGATGTGTGTTTTTTGGTGTCTAAGGTTTTTTTTTCTCCTGCAGGAGTTGGACCCTGAAGTGGAGAGAGATTTTTATAGGACATTGTCCCTGTTAAAGAAAAGAGACCCAAAAATTTATGAGAAAGATGTCAAGTTCTACTCAGAAGGTGACAGCTATCACCTTGACTCTTTATATTATTTATTGATCTCTTATGCTGCTGACTTAATTTAAATATCTTTGCTTACAGAGACATCTCACGATGATRCAAAGCCTTCAACATCGAAGAAAGACAAAGTCAAACCGATGTATCTGAAAGATTATGAGCGTATGGTGATCCTGGAGAAGGAAGGGTGAGTGCAAAAACATTTAAAGCTCTGTGCTGAGATAATAAGGCCTGCTGACTTGAAAAATTATAAAATACAGGTGTTCACTTTTTCCTAATGGATGTGAGTGAATGAATGAACAAGATGTCACAGTATTTGACACCATTTTCATAAAACATTTGACTCTGTTGCTAAAACACCACAGAGTAAAGAACAATGCTGTCATTCGTCTCTTTTGTTTACATCTCTGTGATAGCTAKTTTTATTTTACTATTCAGATGAAAATTTTCATCGTCTGTTGGGGTCGTGACCTTTTGACCTGATGACATTGCTTGCTTATTTATTTAATGAAATGTCATGTAGACMAAAGATGGGGAGTGCAGACGTCCATGCATAGGGTTGCGCTTCAGCCCAGCTGAGTTCTGCTCCACGCATCTTTTCATCCCACTCTGCACGGTTCATTTTTGAATGCATACATGTGAGCAGGAGCTTAAAGACAAACTGGTTTGTGCATCTATTTTGAGGAATTGTCTCGTGAATGAGGCTTTAGTGATTTTTGTCACTAGATTTAGCAAATTATCAGAATTTTTCACTACTTTTTCCAAAAACGTGACTACTCATCATCAAGTTTATTTATAAAGCACATTTAAAAACAACAAGTTGTCACCAAAGTGCTGAACACAAGTCAAAGAACAATATAAAAGCAAACAACATTCTTAAAAACATAAAAGATAAAAAACACCAACAACAAATCTGAGAGAACAGGTGTGTTTTAATAGAGATTTAAAAACAGGAYGTGACGAGGCCTGTCTAACTTTGAGGGATAGATTGTTCCAAAGCTTCGGAGCCACGACTGAAAAAGCTCAATCTCCCCTCAGTTTCAGTCTGGTTTTAGGAACGACCAAAAGCAGCTGATCAGAAGCTCTTAGTGCCCGAGAAGGACTGTATGGTTGAAGTAGTTCAGCAAGATAGGAGGGTGCAAGGCCATGTTGGCAATTGTGAGCAGGAGAATTTTAAAATCTATTCTATAGTGCACTATCTGTCTTAGCTGAAAAAAACCTTTCTGCAAAACAGAGTTGATCTGCGTGTTAAACTTCAAATCAGAATCTAAAATCATTCCCAGATTTACAACAGACTGCTTCAAATACAACTGAAGAGAGCCAAGATTTAATGGAAAGGTGTCAGCAGCAGAACTAGGGCTAAACACAATAACTTCAGTTTTCCTGTCAGTAAAACTTAAAAAATGTGCAGCCATCCAATCCTTAATGTCATCAATACATTTTAATAACAACTGGGCTGAGCAAGCTCTATTATCAGGTTTCTAGAGCAGGTAGATCTGACAATCATCAGCATAGCAATGAAAAGACAGGGCATGTTTCCTTAGAAAAGACCCTAAAGGAAGCAGGTATAAAGAAAACAAAAGTGGTCCAAGAATCGATCCCTGTGGAACCCCACAGGAAAGAGGCTCTGAAGCAGAAAAGAAGTTTCCAACATTAACACTAAAACATCTGCGACTTAGATAGGAACAAAGCTGGAGACAAAGACTAGTGACAAATCTAGCCACTTTTTCCAGCATTAATGGAGACTTTTGGAGATTTTGGCGACTGCACCTTYCTCAGCAAGCAGCCAGTGGGGCTGTGAGCCCCTCCCCCTTTTCAAATCGCTGACCAGCGGTCCGACTCATGGAAGCCTCGTGCTGCAGAGGAGAGCATTAGTTTATTCAGTTATTTAATTATTCTGTTGTTTTCAAACATTGTGTTCATATTTGTGTAAATTATGAGTTCATATTTATGATATAAGGAAACGTAGCAGCTGAAACACAAACAGTAAAAAAGGAGCTTCCTGTTTTTCATTAGTGATATTTTCTTTTCTGTTGCAGCAAATATGAAGATGATGATGATGATGATGACAGCGATGACGAGGAAGCTGTCAAGAGAAGAGAGGTAGGCAAGCTGAGTGCTAATGATTTTTATTTTTTTATTCTCATTATAACCCGTGTTCCTCCTCTGAAGAGAGATGCCTCTCCGAGCTACATCCAGGAGCAGAAGCAGCTGAAAGAGAGGTAAGATGAGGCATCCTTCACACGTCATGAAGTTGTTTTTGGATGCTTATTAACTGAAACAAAACAAAAATGTTCTGCAGCTTCCGCAAGTTTGTCCAGGACAGTGATGAAGATGACGAAGAAGAAGAAGATGAAGGATCTAATCTGCTGACCAGGAGAATCAAAACACAAGAAGAGAAGGTGAGAAAAACTGTACCAGGAAGGATTGAAACAGCGATGTATAAAAACCTGTCCTGGGTCAGGATGAAATGGTCTGTTTGTTCCAGGATAAGGAAGAGGCTGATTATTTGGACTGGCTCAAAGGTCAGGCTGAGATGGAGGGTCCAGAGGAGGCGAARGACATGGTGAGTTGGATTCATTAGACTACAGAGTGTGAGAAACAAATTTCAATTAGAAAACAGAAATATTCTTACTGACGAGGAGGGTTTGTGTTGAGACAGAAATATTTAAGAGATTACTGGAATGACCCGGAGCTGGAAGAGAAGGAGCGATTCCTCCGAGATTATGTGCTCAACAAGGGCTACCTGGATGAAGAGGAGGATGATGAACGGTTGACTGATGTTTTTTATTATTAATATTTTTAATCCTGGATACAAAGAAACAGCCCGCCTTTACAGTCAGTTCTCTGGATGCCTTCAGGATCCCGACTTACGACGAGGTGGTCCAGGAGGACGTGGAGGATTCTGAAGAAGAGGGGGAGTCRTTCTTGGAGCGTCAGGAGAACTTTGAGAGAAGCTACAACTTTCGTTTTGAGGAGCCCGACGCGCTCCAGATCAAGACCTACCCCCGAAACATCGCCACATCCGTTCGCTCCAAGGATGACCGCAGGAAACACAAACGGGAGGAAGTGAAAGAAAGAAAGGAAAAGGTGTGCTGAAGTTACTGTTTCTTAGAATTGCATAATTTTTGTGTGTTTGTGGACTAATGTAACCCTCTGTCGTGACAACTATTTAGGAGAAAGAGCTGAAGCGGGAGCAGCTGAAGCAACTGAAGAACCTGAAGAGGAATGAGATCATGGAGAAGCTGAAGAAGCTGCAGGAGCTGACGGGCAACAAACAGCTGGCTTTCAGTCAGGCTGACCTCGAGGGAGACTTTGACCCGAAACACCACGACCAGCTGATGCAGGTCAGCAACACACACACACACACACACACACACACACACACACACACACACACACACACACACACAGTTTAGTGTTAGCAACAGCTTTCTTTTTGCTCTGTTCTATCTCATTTGATCCTGATCCTGTTGCCTTCAGACTAATCTTGTGCTAAGAAGGTTTTCAAAAGGATCTCCTAGTTGAGACATTGTTCGATGAACATTTACTTCAACTCTAAAAATCAGAACGTAAAACACTGTTGGCTGTTTAGTTTTCATAAATTAAAAATGTGTATTGTCACACGGATGTCACCGTGTTATGTACGGCACAAAGGCACTCTGGACTCTGGGTAAACATGGTCCTCTACAAGCTCTACCCAGCAAYGTCTGACAATCAGCCTTTTTAAACTCAACCGGAGTGCACCGACAGAGAGAAGGTAGAAACTCAGCCTGCAACTGAAAATGCAGATGAAGGACCACAGAGCTTTATCCTTTTAGCTTCCGTGGTAGCTCTCATACTAATAAATATGACGTTAGCTCCTGAGCTAATTTACTAAACATCATGTTTGATTGTTTTAACCCATAATTTGTGCAGAACAAGGAAATTAATAGAAAATGTAATTTATTGATTCTTTGTCATCATCCTCCTCAGAATGCATTGTTAGTAGCAAAATGGCGATGTGCTTAAGATGAAGAATGCAATAAATATATACCATTTTTTAAGTAATTAGAGGCTTTTATACGTCACAAAAACAGGATTTAGTAGAATAGAGAAATTAAGATATTTAAACAGCATCAAACAGAAGTTTAGAGAGGACATTTAACTAAACAAAAAATTTTTCTGTTCTTTAATGAAAGTGATTTTGCCTTCTAGTGCAACAGCACAGATTTCTCTGCATTTAAAAAAAAACTTTTATTAAAGAGAAAAAATGTCAATAAAAATACACTGCTCAAAAAAATAAAGGGAACACTACTGCTCAAAAAAATAAAGGGAACACTACTGCTCAAAAAAACAAAGGGAACACTTAAACAATGCACACTAAGTCCAAGTAAATCAAACTTTTGTGAAGCACATTCAACTCTGTRCAGAACAAAGTACTCAATGCGAATATTTCATTGATTAAGATCGGGAGTTAGCGTGCGTTGTTTAAGTGTTCCTTTATTTTTTTGAGCAGTGTAGTTTGTCTAGCATTGATGGGATTGAATAGCTGTAAATTGAGAAACAATGCAGTTTTTTATTTGCTGTCAATAGATAGAGAAAACAAAGTTAAGGAGATGAGCTTTGTTGCAAATGTTAGCATGTTTGAGCAAAAAGAGGAGGAGAATAAAAAACACTGAGCTGACAGTTGAGACTAAAAGTAACGGACATGAAAGCGGACATGAAAGCACCTGCTGCGAAGCAGGAGGAAAGGAGAGAGGAAAAAGTAACTTATTTCTAGCGGCAGAACAGGTTGGAAGATGGCTGTTTGATGTTATTTATTGTTTTTTTAAATCATCCTGTAGGCTCTGACATGTTAGATAAATTTGAAAATGAGGTTTTTAAAATATCCGTAAGACTTGAAAAAATACGTGAGATTGCTCTATGTGTCCGTATACCGGCAAAATTATGTAAAATCCTTATAACTCACAGACAGTCTGTATAAGTTGCTGCCTTTCTTTCCCCTCCTCCCCTCCCACTGTGCAGGTGGGCTGGTCTCTCTCTGTCTCTGTCTCCGTCTCCCTCTCTCTCTCTCTCTCTCTCTCTCTCTCTCTCTCTCTCTCTCTCTCTCTCTGTCTCTGTCTCTGTCTCTCCCTCTCCCTCTGTCTCTCCCTCTCCCTCTCTCTCTCTCTGTCTCTGTCTCTCTCCCTCTCTCTCTCTCTCTCTCTCTCTCTCTCTCTCTCTCTCTCTCTCTCTCTCT